GTACTAGATTGTTGGTAAGTATCCACAACAACATAGGACCGACTGCACAAGACATATGGTTGGATATACATGACCATGGTCATTAAATTGATCACCAACTTTCCCTCTTCAAATCCATGAAACCCGGTGTCATCTTCGCACCAATAATCTTTGAAAAAGCAAGTATTAAATCTAAACATTTGAGAGCTTGTACGTGAACAAATTTAAATCTTTATTCACAGTTTATTGGCGTTCATCGATTGGTACATTGTCATGCCTCTCTATACTTCACCGTCTTATATATTATGTGACCATCAATATAAAGTTGTGCAAATACCAAGATGTACAATATGAAAAGACCAATAGATTGCCTCTCATGTCATCATGTATATGTCCTTACTGACCATGTTCCTATTGTCTTGTGTTTACGTATGTATTTTTTTCATGTGAATAAGATGTAGATGCTCATTTCCATTCTACAAGAACAGTGACAATATGATCAATTTCCAAAGGTGCATGCTGAGCCACTCGAATTTTATTGCCGTAAGGATTTTTTTTACACTTATGTCGTAACCACGAGGATTTCTCATCATTCAACACTTTGGGTAGCCTAATTCGTCCCCATGTACAAAAATGGGTGTATTGCCTTTCCATAGCGTTACCACCAAGTTTGTATGAAGCAAATTGTACAACTTTATTTTATCACACATATTCATGAACAACTATTTCCTACCACATTGTTTCACGTGTTCCTTCAGGGAAACTGTTGGTAGGTAATGTTGCAGTTGAACATGCATTGACTTGGGACACAACATTTGATTCTTTCAATGATCGTTGTTGTTACACTAGCAAAGTACGATATTCCCAGAGCTTCTAATACATGAATCACACGTGTGTGGTGTTCTTCTTTCGTGGAAGATTTTCATTTTCGATGGACTTGATATCTGGTAGGATACACTTGATTCCTTCATGTTGGGTGCTACACATACTTTCACAATTCAAATATTCCAATGTTTTAGATGCGGTAGATGAATACGACATAATAAATATCTGTTACGAGGTTTCATCTTACTAGAATATTAAGTCTTCTTGACTACAACTTGAGAATGCATGCTCTTCCTTGAGCTTCAAATGAACCATTTTGCTAAAATGTTAATAACTCAAGAACAATTAAAATTTAGAGACATAATATGACAAAGTACCGCTAGCCTATTAGATACTATTCCATCATGAAGGCAACAATATATCTATCAAATTTCTATTCCTAGCCCTTAGTGAGAGAATTATTCAAGCATGCTGCATCATATAACCCAAACATGTTGTCTTCAATCTCCTCATAGATTTCTACAGGAATATGCATGTCAACCGGTGCAAGTATATCTTCAGGTCCTACTACTGATTTGCAAACCTCCTCTTCTGATGGAATTTCGGGTTCGTCCTTCATGGAGTTCCTTCCTGGATCAATCATATGTATATCTATTGGGTTTGCATGAACCTCAATAGTTTTTTAGAACCTTCACTGGAGCAATTCCGTTGACTTTGGTTTCATTTTCCATCATTGTAACCATATAAACTTCAGTGCATTTCAGGAGCATGATTGCTAGGTCCCACAAGTTGGCCCTTTGCTCGACTCCCAACCATGCAATGGTTAATCACTTTGCTTGGTTCTATCGGTTCATTACAAATTCTTGTCCATTATCTCCATTGTCCATGCTCATGACAAGGATCTTGTTTACCATATGGTTTATGAAGGAGTGTTATTTTTTGCTTTACATATCCCGAGTCTAACATGAAATTTCATTATGTCTGGCATATGTTGCTTGATTTACTTATATTCCCGTGAATATAAATCTTAATCGTGTTGTTTGAGAGTCTTGTTAGTATCTTACCCACTTGCTAGCGTTTTAGGGTTTAGGGTTTAGGTGGAGTGTAATCCAAAGGTGTGGAGGATAAGGACTTGAACTCTTTAATGGTGGTATCAGTTTGATATATGGACATAAATGAGTAGAACACTTCCATTTCAATATAAGAAGTATACTAAAAGCATCTGGTATATAAATGGAAAATAAACAAAGCAAAAGAAATTGAATCACCAAAGTAGTGGCTACACCCAAGTTCATTGCACCATGGTGAATAGTAAAACTGAAAAAAAAATAGCAAACGTTCTAAAACTTTGTGGCTTTGATTATGACCAAAATTTTGAGGTGCTTGCAAAATTTGGTGGCCAGATAAAATTAAATGAGCTCTATACATGAAACATAAAAACTCTGCTCAAACAGTGCACACAAGTTTGAGAACACATTTTGTTATTTTTTTGTACAGAGCTCTTCGGATGTCACTTGGTCACCAAATTTTACAAGCACCTAAAACATTTGGCCATAATCGAAGCCACAAAGTTTCAGATTTTTTCTGTTTTTTTTTTATTTTACTGTTCATCATTGGTGCAATGAACTTGGGTGCAGCTTGGTTACAACCTAACCTCTCGCATGGTCCTCTCGTCGCCTCGCCCACAACGGCAGCGGTAGCTTGTGCACAGCAAACGGACAAACATGCAGACGCACGCCCGTGCTAGTTCTGCGCTCCAGATTGCACTGATTGTTGCCGAGCTACTTTGAGTAAGAGAGAATTTAGTTGACCCTTAATATACAGTTATACACTGAATCAGTAGATGTCCCGCAATATGCTTATCAAAGTGATGGTCGGCAGATTGGCATGAACAATAGACGTTTTTCATATAGTCCCGAGTGCCGGTCGACGTCCCCGCCAAATTCCCATGCCCTGAAGAATGTCATCATGCTAAGCAAGACCCGGCCGGCTGAGCTCGACTTCCACACCCGCCGGCCGCCGCAATCAGTCATGCGTTGAGTCTAGCTGTTCCCCTGTACTGGGCTGGCAGCATTACTGAGTTAAGTCGGCAAAAGGTAGAACCCCAAGATCACGCCAGTCTCAGGCTACAGTAGGTGCATGCGTCCAGTACGAGTGTGTAATGCTTAAGCTAGCGAACGTCATACGTTGTGGCCGAACGGTAGTGATTTTTATTTACTTTACCAACGACGCTAAATGTACTACCATCCTCTTTCATTACCTATGAACACATACCATGTTTTTAGAAGAAGAAAATAACTCTGAACACATGCTACGAGATAAAACACTTGTTTAGCAGGTTGGAGTGCGATATCTAGTGAAATCATTCATATAATTCGGCAGCGAAACATATAACACTTGTGAGTTCAGTGGATGTCTGAATGGATTTGGTCAGATAATTCAATCTTCAAAATGTTGTCACGAGCCATCTTTCTTTTTCAACGTTTTTTTTAAAAAGGAGGATGACCCCCGGCCTCTACATCTGGGAGATACATACGGCCACTTTATTGGTTATTCTCAAGGACCTTACAAAGTATTACAACAATGTGCCTGAATCCACCATCTTGGCAACACATGCCGTTACTCCTATCCGAAATGATGAAGGGGCGCTAGCTGGGCCACTACCCAAACCACTCACCTAAGCCTAACATCAAAAGCCGGAAGACGGAACATATTCGGAGGCCCTAGCCGAGCCACATACCGGATCTGGGGCACAATCCGGTCAGGTCCGTCTTCAGATCATATTGAGGCTTCTACCTTGTCTGGCCATTCTGCCATCGACGTCATCATGACGCCAGACAACAACCTCCTCCTACGCGAGTCCATCTTCATGCATCGGACGCCGAGCCTCCACAGCGCCATGCCACCGATATCCGCCGCTATCGATGTGTGAGATGAAGCACCGCTCCACCATCCCCCCAGCTAGCACTTACTCCAAAACGATGCCCCCACGAGGGAAAGCGATAAAACGCCATCATCGTCCGATCCGGAAGACCCAGATCTAGGGTTTCCCCCGGAGCATCCCAAGCCTGATGACGCAGACTGCAACGACGATGCCTCGACAAGGGAACGACATCTAGGACGCCGCCATCGTCCGCCATGACCGTAGTCGGCGCGATTTTCATCGGTAGTTGCTCCACCAGACGTGCGCCGACGTCGCTGGTCCCTTCAACCGGAGCAAACTCCAAAACAATGCCCTAAAGAGGGACTACGACGCAAAAGCGCCGCCATCGCTCGATCCCAAGAAGATCTAGGGTTTCCCCCGTAGTTGCCCGCGCTGTCAAGGGCCAGACAAGGGTAGAATCCCGTGGATCTGCCCAGCTGCCGACGAGTCGCACCCACCACCGTGCCGACGGCTGACTAGCGATCAACCGGCCGCGCCGCCACGAACCGATCCGGTCACGCCACCGCCGTCCCTGGCGGCCGCGACGCACCAGATCGCAAGGCCTCCTGCCGCAGGGAATCGACATTGCCGAGGCGCCGCCACCACCCGCCGTGGCGACCGGCCCGCCGCCACGCTCCGGCCCGGCGGTGCCGGCCCGCGCCAGCCACCCGAGCGAGAGGGCCCGAGTCCCCACCGCCGCCGGCGACGGCCAGGCTTTGTCTGGCCGCGCCCTTGGGCGGCGGCGAGGGAGGAGGAGGAGTGGGGGAGGTTCGGCGGCGATGGGATCTGGAGCCTCCCGGTCGCCCACGCGGGGGGCGGCTCGGGAGGGAGACGTACGGGATGGGATGGGATCTGATCTTTCTTTTTCAACGTAAATGGCAAAAGGTTGAATCACTTTCTATCATTGCGGAGAACTAGTCTTTACGGCGTTGCATTATGGAGATTTCACATGAATATTTCAACAGAAATCAGTAGATTTGCTTCGTTGTATATCTTTTTGTCCCAACTATGGTAGTCGCTATCGTTCAACAGGAGGTTCAAGTGCAGATTTATTTTTTGGCATGATAACACGATAGTGCTTTTCTACACGTTGGAGCACTTCGTGTTGTTCCTGCTTGATGCAGAATACACGCTTAATGAACACAGGGGCGAATGCCCCTATAAATAGAGCTCCAGCCCAAACATTCATCTCACACACCCTCAAGGTAAAGCTAGCTAAGACAGAAAACTCCAATAGCAATCCAGTAGAAAACTAAATACATCACCAGCATCAATGGCCAAGTCACAGGCATTGGCAGCAACATTGTTGCTTGTCGTGGTGGTGTCCCTTGCCGCAATAGAGAGTGTTCATGGCGTTTGCGGCATGTCGAATGACGAATTCAAGCTTTGTCAGCCTGCGGCGGCAGTGAATAACCCGACAAATAGTCCATCTGCTGAGTGTTGTGCCGCGCTAGGAAAGACAAACCTATCGTGCATCTGCCGCTACAAAGGCATGGCCGGCATATGGCTGAAAATGTATCATATTGACGCACGTCGTGCCATGGCACTACCAGGCAAGTGCGGACTTACCATGCCAAGCAACTGCTCTTGATGATTTGAAGTACTATCCATAAGCATCTAGGTGTGTGTCAGAGTGTGGGTGTACATATGCATCTACACTTTATGGCTAAATAAGTGAAGGAGCACTTGAAAGGCATTGTGCTACTTGGTCTTATTGTTGTTTTGTCATTTGAATGTGTACTTGTCTCATTAAGCTTTGATTAGCAGTATGCATGCATACTGGAAGTTTAAGAGGATGGTAAAAGTGTCTTATATGCAGTCCCATAAACTGGTAACTGAATATAATATCTTATACTGGTAACCTTGTATGTGTCTTTTGCAATAAAAAAACTTGTATGTGTCAGAAAGGTGTGTGTTCCCTAGTGAACAAGTAAATGTCCCTCGCATACTCTTTTTTCATTGGTCACTGCTATGTAATTTGAATACTTTAATCTCATGCCGGCCATAAAACCCGATGTCCGAAGCCTCAAGCCGTGAAAACCAAATCGACCACGTATAACCCGGACCCGAAAAACCAAGCACTACATTGGGTAACAGTTTTGGAAACCCAAATCTAATTCGGGAAATTGGGCTTAGAAGCCATGGTACACGAATTGCCCGAATAGCCCAAAATAATTCAGCGGCCAAGTAAAAAATCCCGCATAGAGATGACCCAACACGAAATCCCATCGCTAGGCCCCGCAAGTGAAACCTAGGTCATGTGACTCACATCACTAACTCATGTCCCCTTCCAAGCACCATAGCGCCTGCCCTAGCCGCCGCCCCAGCCCCCCGCCCCCACCCCACAGGCATTGCACTCCGTCGCCGATCCGCATCCGCGCTGTCATGACTTGCAAGACGGAGGTGGAAGCTGTGTTTGGCGGGCGACGATGTTGGCGGACCATCATCGAGTCGGCGATGCAGCATGACATCGACGATCCAAAGGAGACAAGAAGGATGCTACCATCATTCTCAAAGCCGCAACCGATCAAGAGACGTGGATTTGGCATGCATTTTTTGGGGTGCATGGATATTGCAATGACATCAGTGTGTTTCATCAGTCACCACTCTTTGCAATGTTAGCCAATGGCGAATTACCAAGTGGAGTTTCAAGCAAATGGCCGCCCATACAACATGGGCTACTAGCTTCCAGGTGGGATATAGATCCAAAGTGGTCCACTTTTTTGAAGCCAATTTCAAGCCCCCAACGTAATTAAGAAAGAACTTTGCTTCCATAATGCTCAAGCGGCTATTAGAAAAGATGCGGAGAGGGCTTTTGGGATTTGCAATCCCAATTTGCTATTGTGCGAGGAACAACTAGGTTTTGGGATCAAGAGATCCTTTGGTACATGATCATGGCTGTCATGATCATGCGCAACATGATCATTGAAAATGAGCATGGGAAAGATTCAGTTTACACCTTCTATGAATTAATGGCACAAGTAGTTTGGCCACGTAGAAGGGAAGACTACATCCGCCTCTTTTCTTGAAGTGTATAATAACATTCAAGATTTTGATACACTCAAAGATCTACAAAGAGATCTCATTGAGGATGGTGGACATGGTATGGGCAACAAGCCCATTAGTTTCATCTCTATGTTTAATGTATCTGTGGTGATGAACTTTGTGTTATGTTTGATGAACAATTTCTGTTGAATTTGATGTTGCAGATTGATGAACTATGTAATAACTATGTACTATTTGTATAATATTTGTTTTGGATTCATTTGAGATGAGTTTGCTATTTTTTTTCTATTTCAATATGTATGTAATGGTGAAGAAGAAAAACTTATTTGTGTGACCTATTTACATCATTTTTTACGACAGAAAGTTTTCTGATGCCCTATTATACATCATCTGCCGATGGTGCTTTAAGATATCACAAGAACACAATGTGAATCCATGCAATTATTAGGGACACCTATACTGCAAGTTTCTTTCAGTATGCACACCTACCAACTATCATCATTGCATTTGATTTTGCGCATCTTGTTATAATAAAGCGTAGAAGAAAAAGAAGCCAGTTTTCTTACAAAAATTTAATAAAACCGATGAATGCGCTAATAGTTCATCAACATCACTGGCTTGGTAATTGAAAATTGATGGACTATCATTTTGCATTCCTTTTTTGAGAGACATACACTTGGACGCTAAAGTCTACGTAACTATGTAACCAACACCTTAGCCACAAATGATGGAAAATAGTACTGCAGAAGTTCTCAATATTGTGTCATCAAGTGGAAAATTAGAACTCCTCCTCGCTGCTAACACTGGTGGATCCTATTTT